AGACGTGTGCTCTTCCGATCTCCCCCTAATTCTGTACGATTTTCCTGATTATGCTCGATGTAAAGTTAATATTTTTGTTTTTCATGACAGCAGACATGAAAAATCTTACGTAACGATATGTACGACCCCCCCTCCCCTATGTAATTATTTTTCAGAATTTGACTGACCCCTCCTTCCCCAGTCAAGCTTACGTAATGGATGGCCTTTTTGATATATATTATCAAAGTCATAATTCTGAATAACATTTAAAAGCCGTCGATCATGATTTGTTAAAAAGTTATAAACAAAATAAGCTTTTATAAATAGAATGTAATTTGTGAACATAATATGAAACATTTAAGACATTGCTTTGTGTGGAAAGTGAAAATATATTACAAGAATAAAATAAAGTTAATAAAATATAATCAACACAAAAAAGACAAAAAATTTTGATTAATATTTTATTCATTTAATGGATACATTGAACTCATAATTTTAAAAAGAGCCTATTCGTTCATTGAATATTCTTAAACAAAAATTTTGCAAAATAGTGTATGTAGTGGTAATCTTGTATACCGTATTCGATCATATGTCTCTCCATAATCTTTCTATATTTTGAGTATAAATGCCACTTTGATGATCTACAAAATTTTCTACGTGATTTACTGTTAAATGTATATAATTTTTATTGCGTAAAGTATTACATGCATACCATTTATCCAATGTAAATCGGCTGTGACATTGTATCGAATAATTGGCAAAAGAATTTCAGTGCTTTGATTTGGCACGGGCAAAAAATTTTTGAATATCACGTTCGATATCACCGAAAACCTATTGTTCTCTGATAAAACGTCCGGTATTATACTTTCTTTTTTAGCTATTTTAGTTTCCTATTTTAGCTAACTCAACAATTTTGTTCTCCACCAATTTCTTTTTGTCCCTTTGTAATTCATTGTTAAAGTATAGTTAGAGTTAATTTAAACATAAAAATATTAAAAATTATATTTAATAGCAAACACTAACTACTGAATAACCGTAACTGAATAATATAAACAGTACTTTACTTATACTTCTCGACAGAAATTTGTCCAATAAATAACAATACCGTTCAGTTCCAAAAAATTTATTAAAAATCTATGTTGTAGTGGTTGTAAAAGAAATCAACAAATGTAGAAAGATTTAAATGCGCTCGTTCAAACTATGGTTCCGTAGTATGCACTGATTTTAAAATTGCATATCACTCTACATCACTTTCGGTTTTTTAATAACTTTATATAGTGTACATTTCTATAGCGAAACATATATATAATTTAACAGAATTACATTATCTCAATTTTGACACTTTATAGACATACCTATTACTTCATCATGCACAACTTTGTTGTCACACAAAAAGTTTCACAAATAATCGAAATTGTAGATCATATTAATAAACTAGAAGTGTGTGAATCTAGTATTTGTATGGCTGAATCAAATTGAATCGAACCGAATCTGAAATTTTTATGACGAATTAAATCTCTTCAATTAGAATACAAATCGAATCTGAATCAAATTTTCTCAGATTTAAGTTATATATTAATTTAAACGTAATAATATAAAATATTAAAATTTATGATTTACATTATTTTACGCAATAATTTAAACAAACTGAAGACCTGTTTTTGATTTACATCTCATTTCGAAGGATCGTGATCTTATGTGACATTTTAAATTAGAAAATGTGTAACTAATAATATGTGTATACAAGAATAGTTAGAATGCTTTTGAACATTTTATTAATCTATATATATAGATCATGTACATCAAAAATACTTAATAATTTATTATATAAGAATAATTGGTTGCGCGGCCAGAGATATAAATGAAGCAATTAAATAAGATAGGCGATTCGAGATCGAATCATTGTTGATTCGAACTGTTCAATTTCGAATCTTACAAATTCAAAAAACGAACTCGAATCGAATCCATTGTGATTCGATTCGAATTTGAACTATTCGTATACCTCTATAATGAACTCATGAAAATGCACATTGAATATTTGCAAAAGAGTGTGTCTCGAAATAATCCAAGTTATTTGATTTACTGTCGAATACGTACTAAATATGGCTATCTAAAGGATATGATTGAAAATATATCCAAACAAATAGTAGATATTGTATATCAGTATAGTGTATCAATATTATTAGTGTTAACGTTGCTTTGTATAGAACGCATGTACATTCCTCATGCAAAGTCCCATAAGTAGAAAGGAGGGGAATGGGCAAGGGTGGGATGGACCTCGCTTCGCATGAAAATCCATGTGAAACATCCAAATCAGTCAAAAATCACTTGGAATTAATAAAGGCAAGAAATTTATGTTCTATATCATAAACATTTTTTTACTAATGACTTTTTACTGAATCATGACTGACGGCTAAAACCTTTTGAATATTGTTCAGAATCATGACCTTGACAACATATGACAAGGTCGAGATCATTGGAGGTTGCTCCCATTTTCTACATATTTTTTTTTTCAATTTATATATAATATACTTTTCGTTATATTATAGATACGTTTTTTGATATCCAAATGAATGCGTGCCGTAAAGAAAATTACACGCGAGAGGAGATTCGCGATAACATAATAACGATGTTAATAACGGTATGTACAACGGTATAAATATAATTGCAATTATAAACATATATATATATATATATATATATATATATTAAAATATATTTGTATGTTTGTAGGGTAGTGACACAATCAGTACTACGATAAATTTTGTTATCTTCATGTTAGCAAATTTCCCTGAAGTACAAGTATGTATATATTTATTCCAAAACAATTGAATTTACTAGTTAGATAAACGAAGCGTTATAAACAACATAATTTAAAAGTTTAAAGTTGCGAAAGATATATTTTATTGTAATAGTCAATAAGATTCTTTTCTAATTTATATTATATCATATATGTTGTAATAATTTTAACACTATTTTGATTTATTTTTATCGAAAAATTATATTAATATATGGATTTAACATATTTTATATTTGATTTATATAAATATTTTTCAAAATATCTAAGCTTATAATATTTTAATTAATATTAAACTTAATATTAAAATATTAATATGTTAATTAATATAAAAGATGTAACTTAAATACTGTCCAATAATTAGCGTTATTCTTTGTAAAATACTAAGTCAAAAAGTCAGTCGGAATTATTTTTTTCTACAGTGCTAAATAAAGCAACTACTAGTTAAGTACTTAATATATTGTATAAATCAGTACTTAATATATTGCTTCATTAAGCATTGCAGACAAAAATAGTTTTTAAATAGTACTCACTAATAAATATAGCGCTATTCCTTATAAAAATTGAGACGAGAAATCCTGAACCATTTTTCTCTACGATGCTCAATGAATGACAATGAAGTAGTAATTACTGCAATAGTGATCGCTTTATTAAGCATTACAAAAAAAAATCGTTTTTTGATTCAGTTTTTTTTACAAGGAATAACGTTATGTAATTAGTGATATTTAAGTTACACCATTTATAGATACATTGGATTATTTTTTAAATACGTATCACAATATGTGCAATTTTTCATTTAAGGTGAACATTTTTATAAAATTTTACAAATATCTAGATTGAGATCATTACCAACGCCTCGATTATGATTAACGATAAGAATAAAATCAAATTTTAATCGCAATTGATTAAAAAAACTATAATGTATTATTTTGCATACATTTATATAAATAAGTATTTATTTCATTTATTATTGTAAAAGGAAAAAGCACATAAAGAGTTGTTGGAAATTTATGGCACTGAAACTGTAAAATCTGCACCAATCAAATACGACCATTTACAAAATATGCATTATTTGGACCGAGTTATCAAGGAAACGATGAGAATTTTCCCTACTGTCCCTATAATTGGACGAAAAACATCCGGAGATTTAAAAATAGGTTTGTTTACTTTTTATAAACAATCAAATATATATTATTAATTTTTATTTAAAAAAAATTTTTTTATAAATAATAAAAAAGTTGAGATTTAGAGATGCCGATATCAAAATATCAATCTTTATTAACTTTAACTTGATTTCATTCTGAACAAAATTGAATATTTTTGTTATAAAAATATTTGAATAGTTTATAACAAATGTATTCAAACACAGTTATAAATTAAAAAAAAATTATATTATTTAACTAAAACATAATAATGAAAAAAGCAAGACTATTTAATTTCTTGTGTGCAATATTGTTGTGTCAATTATACATGTACATTTGATTGTGAAATAAATGGCGGATTGAATTATTTATTTCTATTATAGTTATAATACTTTTTAAATATAAAAGTACACGTTTTAGGGAAGGTAATAATACCAAAAGGTACAGATATTCTTATACCAATTATAAAAATGCATCGAGACGAAAAGTATTGGCCAAATCCGTTTATGTTTGATCCTGATAGATTTCTCACAGAAAGAAAAAAAGATTTTCACGCGTCTTGTTATCTTCCCTTTAGTGCTGGATCAAGAAACTGCATAGGTAGGTATAAATAAGTTTTCAAAGTTTTATGATATAAATTAATTATTTTATTGACCTAATTAATAGAACTAATTAATTATTAAATTGCAGGTATGAAATATGGAATGAGGTGTATGAAAATCATACTAGCAACATTGATACGAACGTACAAATTTAAAGTTAATAAAAATATTGAATTAGATAAGATAAAATTGACATTTGACATTGTATTATCCCCTACCGAGCCTTTCAAAGTCAAAATTGAAAAGCGATCCAATAAAACAGTATAGAAATTATTAAATATTTGAGACTATATTTTTATTGTAATATAATATTCTGCATATATATATTATGGTGGAATTCGATTTATTATTTTTTAGTTTACAACACACACACACACACACACACACACACACACACACATTAGTTGGAATAATTTGTAATGTATGTAACATATGTAAGAATAAAAGGTAAAATCGAATTATTCTTTGAAGGATATATTTTTTTATATTGCGTCTGTTAATCCTTAACAAAACAATCAGATTGTTTCTATTATCACAATTATATTTCTATAAACTGAAAAATTTTGTAATTTTATTGACATGTGAATTTTAATATTATGTCACATAATTTTGCATCACGAGTGCGAAAAATTTTTCGACGTATTTTTGCTTGCTGCACAAATCCGTTGGCAAAAGTTGGCTATCATGTCACAATTTTGAAAAAAATGGCCTCAAAGAGGCTAAAAATGTATTTTGAGAATTTTCAAAACATTGCAGCACCGATAGCTAATTTTTTTTGTTTGATTTCGTTAATGCCACATGAAAGCATCAACTTATTTTAACTTTAAAATACATATACTTTAAAAAACATTTTGATTTATTATGATATGATTTCTTGTTTCCGAGATGTAGCAATTTGAATATATAATTGAATATATATTGTTTTTCTCATTTTGTTGTTTGTGTTTTAAACAACAAACTAAGGTCGAACCAATGACATTATCTTATAATTAATGTTCCCCTCTAAACTATGTACCTAACTTTTGTATTTAAACATTTTTTTCTAAAATGCTTTGTTTCCTAAATATAAATCTGTAACATATTAACTGCTTTTTTCAAATTTTTTCTCTACAATTAATCGCATTATTTCGCAATATTGAGAAAGAATGCTGCTTTCAGGAAATTATGACAAAAACACAAATAAAGATTCTATAAAGGTAGCTGAACTTAGAGCAAAGAATAATTAGAATAATATAGAGCAAAGAATGATATTTAAAACGGTAAATTTTCAGCAATCTCTTTCGATTAAACAATAGTAAAAATCAGATTTATAATTCTTTTTTATAAATTTTTTATTAGTTATCTTTATTTAAAGTAAACAGAAATTAGGTATAAATAGTATTTGCTTAAATTGATCAATCAATAGCAAATCTAATTTGGAAAAGCTAAATTCGTACCCTTTATAATTGCAAGTGTTTATATCGTGTTTACAATACAAACTTAACTTGGACAAAATTAACTTGGAAAAGCCAAATTGTGAAAACTGTGCCAACGGGTTTAATTCATTGATATACATATATAATTATCATTTTTACATATATTATTAATATTGTTATTAGATAACTTTATCTCCTTCATTTTTCTTTTAAATTTCCAACTCTTCTCTCAGTCAATAAATAGTTTATTCTTAAAATTGTATAAAACAATTAAAATAATAATATTAAAACATTATCAACAGTATCTATTTCGCTAATGTCATTATACATAATCATTATTAATTTTATATATCAGTAAATATTTTTAAAATGACAAAATAAAAGTTATAAGGCTCTCATTTGACTTAAGTACGAGCAGAAAATGAAATATGAGTATGATATTTATTTACTATTATATCTTAAACAATAATAAATAAAATATAATCTAAATTAAAAATGTATAAATTAACATTTTTTATTATAAATTTGTTATATTTTTTATTATTGCATCAAATATATGTCGTTTGATGTTGCCACATCATATACATACCTTATCTATTTGACAAATATTCTTGTTTTTCATCATCAAAAAATAGAAATTTTTCTCAAACTCTACGATCAAAATGAAACTTTACTAAAACGAACTTATAAATGTTTACTTTGTAAGTATAACAATTTTAAAATTTTTGTCATATATGCAAACATTTTAAATTAAGAGAAAATATCTACGAAATAAGGTTATGCGTATATTTGTCATATAAAATACTGTACATTTAGAATTAAATATCTTAAAAAAAAAAAACGGTAAAAATCAATAAAATTTTCTCTGAATATAATTCACTTTCGTATCATGTATGTATTATAGGTTTGTCTTATATTTCGTCAAACGCTGGAAACTCCTTAAACTGAAGTTAAATATTTTACTTCATATTTAAGTAACGAATTAATTAATAAACGCGTGATATTATGTTGCTAACTTATTGTTTGTGTTTGATAAAATGCAACAAGTATAATGTATTGAGTAAACTTTTTCTTTACTTATACTTTTTTTATTTTGACTTTATTAAACAGGAAACGTCAGATCCGTATCTTTCAAATTATCAGTGATCCACTTGTTGAATTTCTCCTCAATTTCTATGGTAAAAAGTTTTTTCCAGCTACCGATCTTTCCTTTTCGAATGAATTCTTCTGGTTTTATCATAGAGATATCCTCAGTCACCATAGGATTTTTCTGAAAATTCTCTATTTTCAAATGCTTCACTAATTTGGCGATCTGCTCATCGTTGTATACTTTGCCGAAAAATGCGGCGACCTTCTTAATGGTTTCAGGTAAATCCTACGTACAACAGATGCAAAATGTTATCTCTTGAAATTATATAATATCTTAAAATTTTATGTCTTTTACCGTGTATTTTAAATCTTTTTCGAACTATATATTTAAGAAATAAAAGAAGTTCTTTAAGCTATTATATATAGTACTAGCGTTCCTCTCGACTCACTTTTATCAAATCTTCGTAGAAGAGAAATAATAAGTTTGTTCTGTGTTTGGTCATTGCCCAAGCTTCTTTCACATGTTCCCAATACGGACTCCAAGTCACTTACAAAGTTACGGAAAATTAAGCTCTTGAATCGTTAACTCAGAATAAGTAAATAAAAGAAAGATCAATTAACATTTTGCAAAACTTACTGTGATTATTTAGGAATAGATCACAGAATTGTTCGAAAGTCCCCTGATAGTTATAAAGTGTCAAATTCTTGTGGAAATTGAACAATGAGATTACCATGTCTCTTGGATTTCTTGCGACATAGACAATCTGAAAAAAATTAACACTTCTGAAAAGCGTTGCCTATAAATTGCGTTTATTGTGCTATTCTTAATTATGAATTAAAATAATCTTTTAATAAATTAAAATAAATGACATTTAAATTTTGATTATTATCTTAACTCTATCGAATATAAAAACTTGAGTATACATTCCAATGTTTTATTTCAGATGTACCTACGTGGACTGTTCGATAAATCCATGCAAAAATGAAGAAAACATAATTAATTTAACATAATTAATAATTAATTTAACATAAATAATTTTTTTAAGAAAACCGTATTCTATTTTTCTACATAGTCTCCTTCGAGGTCTACACGTAGTCCAACAATGTTCTAGTTTCTTGATTTCGTCCATATAGTATGATTTGTCCAACTGGAGTAATGACCTCAACAGGGCGTCCAGAACATTCAGCGTCATTTATATCCATATGGCCACTTCGAAAGTTAGCAAATCATTTATAAATCTTTGGTGCAGATTCACTATAATGTTTATCAAGCTTTTTGTTCTTTGAAATTCTTTTTTATCCATTTTTTACAAATCACGATATTTGATCGATTCAAATAAACATCTAACATAGAGTTATACGTCTATCTGACTGAAACTTAGTGTGCGAACTTTCAAGAGTTGCCAGTAATTAAAAATAATCTCGACTTATACTGGTGGAGCCCTTTTTCAAACTTTGCACAAACTTATTGAACAACCCACGTTCGGATTAAATTCAGCTAGAATGACAAATCTCTTTCATAATGAGTTAAAGCAAAGTATTAAATTTAAATTAAAAACAAAGAATCAGAAAATCATTATTTAATATGATATCTTTTAACTTAACGTTTCTTTCATTTTTTCTATTTTCACGAATTTTTAGTATTAATTTATAAATATATGTTTATAAAAAGAACATATGATAGTAATCTTACCTTACAATCGCTATTTACTACTGTCGGCAATAGATCGAAAGGCATATGAGTCTTGATGAAACGCGGCGAGGCTTGATTTTGTATGAAATCCAATTTCACTTCATGATTGTTGGAGCTGCATGATAAATCCCCATCTGTTGCAATAGCACTAAATAAAAATTTTATTGTAAGATGCTTCTGGATTCATGAAATTCCTTATTTCGTAAAACAACGAAATGATAATTACTTTTTTTTACATGAAGAAAATAGAAAAATTTATCTTCTTTAGAAACTTATCTTCTTTTTTTTATTAAATTCGATATGTAATCTAATCTGATAAAATATATCGTTCATTCAAGATAAAGTAAACTAGCAAAAAGAGCATTTAAGAGAATTTTTAATTTATATATAATGTTTGATGCAAAAAAGTTTTATCCATACAAAGTTATCTACGTAAGAACGTTTCCAATTATGCTAATAAATATCTAAAAAACGTTTTTATAAATATTATATGAGAGAGAGCATATAACTGTACTGTGTAAAAGGAAATCTGTCCCTTAAAGGTCTCAGATGCGCTTCTTCGAAATTCATATCATTTGCTACCAACCATATGAGTTCCTGCGTCACAGTTGTACCTAATTAGCAAGATATATAAATTTTATATTTTTAGTTTGCATATAATTGTCATATTTGCATGATTGTGAGTCTTTATGTTATAATTATGTAAATATGAAACTTTTTAAAATATTCAGTATTTTATGTGATATTTTAGGTAAATGTCAAAATCATGATACTTTTAGACTGAACTCAAGAAAAATTATTAAAATTAAAGTTTATTATAAAAAAACGTATTTTATGTAAAAATCTGAGCTATAAGTGATAATAACACAAATAAATTTGAGAGTGCCTTCTACAGTCATGGCGTAAAATACGCTCTCAAATTTATTTGTGTTATTTACTTATGCGATTTAGTTCAAATTAATATTGACGATGATAAATATGTAAAAATATAATTTTAGTATTATTAATATTACGTCCTATAGATTCCACGATTCTTTTCTCACGGGGAGGGCTGGATTGCGTCACTGCTTTGGGAAACATTTGTGAGGAAGAGCTTGTCAGTAATTGATATATGCATGCAAAAAAAAAATAAACTGCTGGTAAAAAATCTGAACGGAGTAAATGCTGTTGTTATCAAGTCCCTCATAAATGTCACCGCGAAGGTACGCCAAGGATGAAGGACTAGAAATGGAAACGATAAAATGTAGATCCGGAGACTTAAGCGAAAGAGTTAATAAACTAATGTGTAGCAGCAAACAAAGAAGAGCAGGGCTATCTACAAATTTATCTATCCGGTAAGGAAAAACAGATGTCGAGACAAAGACATGGTCATAATCCTGCTCCACATACCGGGAATTTGGTTTCCTACTATCGCTATCCATTACTGCACTTATGATAGGCGGCGAGTTTATAAACGCAAGACAATGATAAATTTAAGGAAATTCACTAGGTAATTGTAAGAGGATGATGGGCCACATTCCCCCTCCCTAAAAGGATAGTCTGTTAAAAGATTAGATCCGCCAATCGGCAGCTGAAATTTAGAATTTTTTATACAAATAACATCGCGTCCACCAACCAAAACCCTGACTCCCTTAATCCGACTCATCCAGGTTTCCTCGAAAAACTTCTATATAAACCGCAAGATCGCGAGACTCCTAAGCCTTTTACCAGACGTGTCGTAACGTATACACGTTACTCCGAGGTCCTTGTCGGTCAAGTAAATGTGCAAACAATTAGATTCTGTGCGGAAGTCGAACTTAGAATTTGTGCATAGTGATATCGAGGACCTGTAATATTCTCAGTGAGGGGGACTAGCACACCCGACCCGCCTTCAGAGCTTCCCACCTTAGTTGATTATAACCATCAAGTAGTAAGTTTTTATATATAATTATATCTATATGTACATTGAGTAAAAGGGGACTGTATTGACAGCCTTTCTTCAGTTTAATATGTTTGGATAAATATACCGCAGCAATAGTGTAATGGATTTCGAATCAATAAGCATTTTGTTAAATTAATAAATGATCATTTACGCTTTTTTTTCTCAATGAACCGGGTTCACTATTCGAGTTCCCCTTAAAGCAATTTGAGAGGTCAATTTTCTTTATCGTTTTTAATGAGTATTCTTCCCCCTCCTTCCCTTACTCAGAGACGCCCGAATTTCTTCGGAGACGACTCGTAGTACTTTCTCTCCGTATTACTCAGAGCCGCCCGAATTTCTTGGAGACGACTCGTAGTACTTTCCTTCATTTTACAGTTTATTTTTATTCAAGTATTCTAAACTTATTTTATTTCTATTTTTATTCAAGTATTCTAGACTATCTTAGAATTTATAATTTTTTTTTTGGGACAAAAAAATTGACCTCCGGGCACTCACGAGTTCGACTCGTCAACATATAAGACTCCCATCCGAATAAACAAAAAATTTTAGTGAACCCACTAGTTGTAACGCCGCCAAACCGTCGGAAGTCGCGGGCCGCAATTTGCTCATCGCGAAACCGTTGGAACCGCAGAGAGCGCCGAAGACAGGAAAAGGTTCGAGCGGCCTCGCGATCCAGGGATCTCGGACTTCTAATCGAATCGGATTTTCTTAACATACGTCCGTCAACCCTTTCCCGCCCCCGTACTGATATTTCCGTATAAACTGGGTATTTTATAAATCCTGAATTGTTCAGGATACCCCCGGGTCTCGTAACAACCTAACAAATTAATTGAACTTATCAATTTAATAGAAAGCGATTAATTGGAGGAAAACCTCTCACCAACTATAGAAATAATAACTTTGGATGATGAATCTGAAAATATAACAGAAAATCTTGTTGACAGTTCGATTTCCATTATGACAAACTTGATCGATACGCCTGAAAGGTTTTTGCTGAACAAGGAAGGTGGTAGCGTTATCACGTTTATAAACATAATTTATAGTACACCATCCGTACCGACTTGCGGCACCTACACTTTATTTTTATTTATATAATTAATTATACATATATACATACACTACCCCCGAAAAGTTTCCAGACAGAAATAAAATTTTTATGTTTGAAGTTTTAAGCCGCTAAACTTAGTGCGGCACTGCGTTAAATCAAAGGGTAGATAATTTTAACATTTCAAGAAATATTTTAAGATACTCTGTAACGATTTTAAGTTTAATGCATCCCTATTTATACTCTAAACTCTTAAATCTGAGAGGCATGTTTGTTAAAATAAAAATTGCAATGTTTGACGTGATGCACGGCTTTGAGAAAATTTTTCTCGGGGATGCGGTTTGCAGCATCATAAAGTTTGACTTTCTCTTTAATTTGAAAAAAATATAAGTCGCTACAATTTTTTTTCCACAAAGTTACAGTATTTTAAAGATCGGAAGAGC